TGTGAACAATATTTGAGAGAAATAGGCCTTTTGTGTACATAGAAAAAGTCTTAGATCTTTGAGTTCAGCTCATGAAAAATGGGGGCAAAAACAAAAGTGTTGCGTTTATAATTTTGTTCAGTGTAAATAAAATAAATAAAAAAGATGTACTTTAATGTAAATGCTGATCACTGTATAAAATGAAGTAGAAAATATTATTTCCTTTTTCAACATTTCCTTTAAAATCTTAAAGTCTTAAAATATCTTTAAACGCAATATGGCTGCCGTCGCATCATCCAGGTGGATGCTGCACACTGGTGGTGGGTGAGGAGATCCCCCCTCACAATGTAGAGCGCTTTGAGTGCTTAGAAAAGCACTATATAAATGTAACGAATTATTATTATTATTAAAGTGTGTTGTGTGCCTGCTATATACACACACACACACACACTCAGAGACATACATATTTGATATGTTGAAGACACACCTCGGATACTGATTGTTTTTATTGTTACTTTGAAATTGTACCTTGCCAAGCTATATGCCTAAGCTAATTCGTAGTGATAAAAGATTTAGCTACACTAAGCTACAACCAAAAAGTAGCTAACTGCATTTAAGCGTACTTTATAAATGAAAATAAAAAAATATCTAATGATATTTTAAATAATTCATACTGAACAGAATTTCTGGCACAAAAAGACAAACATATGAACAATAGAGTGATACAACAAAAACATCCTTATGTACATAGGCTAATTGAGGTGAAAACGGTACATACACAATACAGGGACTCGAATCGGTGAAAGCTTTTATTCTGTAATGCATCGGACTTTGATAGAACACACCGTTATGAATGAACCGATTGAGTACCCAGAAAAGCGCTATATAAATGTAACGAATTATTATTAATTATTATTATTTAAAACCGTAAATCTGTGTGTATTTTTTGGCACTACCATTGGCATGAGTTTAGGACGGGACTTTCTGTGTGCCTGACCAATAGCAGACAGGGGGAGTGTTCTGGAAACATGGTTGTAAACAGTTATTTTTTGCAGTTTTGTTTCTTTGAAGCAGTTTTCACTCAAAAATTTCTAGTTAATTTCACAAATAATTACAAAGAAATTACACATTGTTACACACTGGATCAAATGTGAGTAGAAAGACTAAAATAGTATACTCCAATAATCTTTGTTTTATTTACAACTTTGAAAATTATCTTTGTTTACAATTAATTTTAAGGTGTCCTTGTTTCAGTGTAATTATGCATTTAAGTACTGAGTAATATTAATTAACTAACATCGCTTCGCCGCCTTCATTGAGTTGGTGCTGGTGTCCTGTAAATCACCGTTCACCGTGGATATCGCGGATGACAACACCAGCCCCACTCCGGACCCAGAGCCCAGCCCACCATTACCCCGCTGCGAGGAGCCAAAGCCTGAGCCCACCGCTGACGGAGAGCCAGAGCCCGCCACGACCGACGAGCCATCGCCAGAAAGAGCGACAGTGCTGAGGATCGCCCCAGAGCCAGAGCCCGTGACGTCAGACCAGGTGCGAGAGCCAGCTACAGAGCTCATCACGGGGGAGAGCGTCAAAGACAGTGAGAGCATGGAGGGAAGCTCCGCCCACTGCACCATGGCTGAGGGTGAGCTGAGCTCAGTGGATTTCGATATGGATATATATGCAGACCTGCACGCTCTTCTCCCGTCATCAAATGTGAGTAGAAAGACTAAAATAGTATACTCCAATAATCTTTGTTTTATTTACAACTTTGAAAATTATCTTTGTTTACAATTAATTTTAAGGTGTCCTTGTTTCAGTGTAATTATGCATTTAAGTACTGAGTAATATTAATTAACTAACATCGCTTCGCCGCCTTCATTGAGTTGGTGCTGGTGTCCTGTAAATCACCGTTCACCGTGGATATCGCGGATGACAACACCAGCCCCACTCCGGACCCAGAGCCCAGCCCACCATTACCCCGCTGCGAGGAGCCAAAGCCTGAGCCCACCGCTGACGGAGAGCCAGAGCCCGCCACGACCGACGAGCCATCGCCAGAAAGAGCGACAGTGCTGAGGATCGCCCCAGAGCCAGAGCCCGTGACGTCAGACCAGGTGCGAGAGCCAGCTACAGAGCTCATCACGGGGGAGAGCGTCAAAGACAGTGAGAGCATGGAGGGAAGCTCCGCCCACTGCACCATGGCTGAGGGTGAGCTGAGCTCATTGGACTGTAATTCGAATATATATACAGACATGCCCCCTCTTCTTCCGCCTTCATCTGAACTTTCTGCCTGCCCTGAATTATTTGTCTGTGCCGAATTATCTGCCTGCCCAGAATTATCTGTCTGCCCTGAAATGTCTGTTTGCCCTGAACTGTCTGCCAGTGCGATAATGACCACGGAGGTCGTTCCCCTGTCGCTGGCGCTCACGGTGGTGGAAGTAGCCTTGTGGTGTGTGTGGGCAGCACACACCGTTCCTAAACCCCCTGAGCATCCTGAACTCCCATCCACCCTCCCTTTCCTGCCTCTTCCTGTCATCCCTGCTGTTTCAGCTCCGCCACCGCTGGCTCCTGTCAGCCCCTCTGCTCACCCTCAGCCCACCATCTGTGCGCTGGATTCGCCATGGGTCTGCCAGTCTCCATCAGCGTCGTGGCCTTCGACCCAGCAGCTCCACCATGGATCCTAGCTCCCTCCTCTCCGCCGTGGCCCATCAGTCCACTGGCTCCGCCGGGCTCCCTTGTCCCTCCGGCTCCGCCTCGGTCTGTCATCGACCATCCGCCGCCTCGGGACTCCACTCCTCCGGCTACGCCTCATCCCTCCGTCCCTCCAGCTCTGTCAGGCTCCTCCTTCCCTTCGGCTCCACCTTGGTACTCAGTCGCTCCTGCCTCCATCGCCTCCGCCTCGGGCTCCTCCTCCACCTGCTCCGCTGCCATCGGTCGTCCCCCTGGAGTCGTCAGTCCTTCCTCCACCATGGCTCCTCCCTCCATCGGCTCCACCGTGGGCAGCCATTATGGCTGCGGCCTGGGGCTCTCTGTTGGTCGTCCTCCTCCCGGTCATCCGGCCACCTCCTGAACCTCCTCCTGCCAGCCCTTTGCCATCCCCCGTCTCCATCCTACATCCACTCCTTTGTCCTCCTCCTAAGTCCCCCTCCATCCCTCCCTTTTTCTCTGCGGCGTGAAGTCACGCCTCCCGGGAGGGGGCAAACTGTCACACCCCTTTGGACGTTTTGTTGTGTTTTCATCCCTCATGTGTTCCATGTGTTCATTTCTGTCTCTCTTTCATTAGTTAGTTCCTTGTGTGCCCATATTTGGTTATGTTCCTGTTGTTCCTGTTTTATTATTAGTTCATCCTCCTCAACGGTCTGTCCCTCATCAAGCTCCCCTATATTTAGTCAAGTCTGTGCATTCTGTCTTTGTCCAGTGTTAAAGATGAGTTGTGCGTGTGCTACTGCCTACCTTCTGTGGATTCTTTTGGTGTGGATTATATTAAAGACTGTTTGCATTCATCCTAGTCTTCGTCATGCGTTTCTCACTCCGCACCATGACATTAGGGTTACTTGCATGTAATTAAGAATAACTATTTGTTATTATAATAGTAAGTACATGTAACGTGTAACAAGGACACCTTAAAATAAAGTGTTACCCTATCTTTTTTT